CACGCACGCACACACATGAATATATGTATAAAAACAGACTACGCCCAGATGACAAGTAATTCAATTATCAGATTTACAGCTGAGAGCATGAGATTCCTTTTGTAAACTTTAAAAATGTAATAAAAAGTTTATAGGGTTATTTTGTACTTTTTCTGGAGTTGATGTACTGTGTCAAGAAGCACCTAATACCAGTTAACAATGTCAGAGCAACCCTGCCATGAAATGATTGCCAGTTGTCCCTCATGATCTGTGCTTTACTTCCCAGTAGGGTTTATCACAGTGCGGTTTTAGTTAAACAGTAAACAGATGCCTGTGATTCTGATACTTTAATCATGTTACACAATCAACATAACTCAGACTCTTGATGACTGGTGCCTTAGCAGAGCTTTCTTTTCTATCTCTCACTCTGTGTCTGCTGCTTTGATTGCATACACAAGTCACAGCAGTCTTATCTGTGTTTTTGTGTTCTCTGATTCTCTCACCCTTATCTGCATAGTTGCCCAATCTTGCAAAGACAGATTAACAAAAAAGTAACTGCATCCAAAAGCTAATTTCATCCATCACAGCAATAAAGTGATTATCGTTAACGGTTTAAGGGAAACCACTTTACACACGCTGTTTAACTCTTGTTCCTGGACAAAAAAAATTACTTTTGTGAGCTTCGAAAAATAAGGACATGGCATTACCGCGACTGTCTGCTTGGAGACACTTTTGTGTTGATCTTGAAGTAGTAAACGACAATGTTTCATCGGCTACAAGGCCTGTTTTGTGTTTTTGCCCACAGATTGCTGGTTTGAAAGGAACTGTTTGAAGTATAAAGATAGCCATGTTTATTTGAATTGGCTTAATAATAGAGACTAACAGATCACCACTGCACATGGCCAAATAGTGGTCTACTCAGTAATTCAATAAAGCTCATAACGAGTGTGTGCTTGAATTCCCACACCTGTTTAGGGTGGAAATCTCCGTTCTTGTCACAGTTGGGTATGGGGATCGTGAAGAGATCATCATGTGTGCGGCTGTTTGACGCCAGTCTGTCCAGCGCTCTCTGTAGCTCAGCACGACATGGAGCCTGTAGGAGAAATCATTTTTCATTTGACATCAGCAGCGTTCCAGATGTAGATTTGTGTGTAGACATTTACAGTGGTGCAAAAAAAAAAAATGGCTGTTTATAAAAGAATGCAAAATTATTATCTCTCTTAAAAATCGACCACTATAAGTTAAGTGAGTGAGTGTCCTCGCGGCCAAAGTGACGTCACTCCATCAGACATGGCCCTTTGCGGGGGTTCAGTGCGGCAGGTTTTCACCTGTCCGTGCACATCAAACATTGTCTTTACGCAGATGGGCAAAGAAAATTGAAAACTTTGAGGAGAATGTTGGTTTGTCTCAAGGAGCAACGAGTATAAAAGATCTAAATGTTTCCTCTTTACGAATCCGCGTCAGTTGATGTCTGTGCAACCGTCCTTGCAGAAAGTGTATATACCAAACTATGTATATAAACTTACTTTTTCACATTCTTATGACAATTTTAGTTACATTTTTATTGATTTAACCAAAATTCTGGCCAGATCTTTAAAAAATTCCAGAAAAATTCAGAGCAGGCCAACTTTAATTTTGCAATCATGATTTATTTATTGAAATCAAAGTCTAAGTGCTTTAGTGAGGCGATAGCGAAACAGAGGTTTTGATTTGACACAAAGAAATTTTCTTACATTGTTCGGGCATGTAGATGTATTTGCAAATAGTGCTAAGAGTGAGCCTCGTTGAATTTACTAGCCAAGTATTGACTCCATGTGAATGGATCATTCTGGCAGATTCTTTTAATCAATCGCCAACAGCATTCCAAGAAAGTCTTTAAAAACATAAAACATTCTACATGTGTGAGACGGTGGTATTCCTGTGCATTCATGCTATACATTTCTGTGGTAAATTAATGTACTAAAATGTGGTACACCCAGCCTGTTACAGTTTAATAGGGATTTTAGGATCCTGCCCTTGCCATGTTGATGTCAATGTGCACCTCTACTTTATTTCGCAAGACTACAATTAAATGTTATGGTCTGTAAATAACTAATTTCTATATTTACAACCTGACAGTTAAGCTTGTGGCTTTGGAACCAAAAAGCCTTAATGTAAAACACCTGCTGGGGCCGAGGCATGTGCTGCAGAGGGGATTGCTTGGGGGGTTTTGTTTTCCGTGAAACTGATAAGATGTCAGAAGGTCGGTTTCTCTCACCAGCGCTGCCTTGGTCTCCTCCCTGGCGGTGTTGCTTCTCTGATTTGTGGATTTTGGAGGATGTCTCGCCAGGGTCTTCTGTATGCAACGCTTGTCCTGTGGACTGCACCGGATATTGCTGTTGTTTGGGTGGTCAGGAATGATCTCATCCTGCCTGTCCATTGCTGAAGGACAAGGAATAATACTTTAGTTCCTTAAATCCAACAAGAAGGATACATCGAGAATTACATAAACAGTTAGTAAAATACATTTGCATTTAATATCACGTTTTAATATGAGCATAATTTAGGGCAGCATCCATTATTTTAATGATTAGCTTGGGTGTCAGAGCAGGAGCTGTTCTGCCTTTCCCCCTTGTCCTTCTACATAACATCCCATACAGCTGAGCGTGAAGAGATGTAGGCTAAAAATAAGGTCAGGTTAACCATCAAGGACACAGAGCCGTATTTCCGCTCTGGGGGGTAATCTGTATCTCGGTTCTTACTCTGGTACTCAACTACCGCACCACAGCTATGCCACGAGCTCAGAGGCTATTTAAACGATAGCTGGAGTGCTGTGGTCCGGCAGGCAGCCAGCTGCTTCCTCAGGAAATGCCCCCCTCCCTTTTCATTCTCCACCCCTCCACAACAAACTTGGTCTTTGCCAGATGGAGGTTGTTAGAGGGTATTTGCACTGTCACGAGTGGGCACAACTGTGTGTGAGGTGGTTGGTGGCCTGGGGGGCACAAGATGGGCAAAATGAAGGATAAAGGTTGTGCGTGCCTCTCTGTGTGCACATGCATGTAGCTTTTCACCTGTGGCTTGTAAAACTTGGCAGAGCTTTCTGCTCATAACCCATGGCATTTTACAGATTGGCACCAGAGTCAAAGCACTGCAGTTTTACCATTTTGAAGCTGTTCACGGTCTGAACCAGATCCGAGCTCTGGTTAATATCCAAGGTCACTGCCAGGCATTCAGTTAATTGCTGTTGGCAAAGAGACAATGAAGGTGGCTCAGTATAGCCTCCTCTATCTTGTGTAATGTGCAGCCTTTTCTCAGGTCTACAATGCATGAAGGACACATACACGCAATCCAAACCAGTAAGCGTTTCTTTGTAGTACTAGAGCGTGAGTTGTTTTGTTGTTTTTTTACAACTTTGCCACAGGAGTTGGAAGGTGACCATGTTTCTCTGAACTTCATAGAGAGTCATCTTGCTTGGCTTGGTTTGTCTGGGGGAGAAGTGTCTCTTGGCTGTTTTTAATCTTTTTGCACTAAAGGCTTGCTCATCAGCATTTTCTTCCCCAAGAACAAACAGGGTTTCAGCTGTTTCCTTTGTTCCAAGTTGTTCGTTCTCCCCTTTTTGCTAGTTCACACTTTTCCGATACCACGCTCTTTCGTAGGGCGAGCCAAAGTGATTTAGAAGTGGGTCAGGGGTGGCATGTCCTGTTTGCTACCACTGCTGTTTTCTATGGAGGAAGTTGCAACTTCTCTGTGTGGTTTCAATTGAGCAGCTCTTGGCTTTTAAAAGTATAATTGTTACGGTGCATTGTCATCCCTAGAGCTGATACACATGTGCACAGCAAACATAAAGACAGATCACGAGTAAACATATAATCATTGTTGCTCAATCAAGTTCATAGTTAAATATTTGTTGTCACATATCAGCTGCCGCACTTGCAAATTTATTCATCACTCAGGCCACCAGCCTTGTGAGCATCATTCATTATGGGATAGAGAGAGCAGATGAACACATTTTCTGGCTCGGGAAACGTCACTTTACAAGTTATTTGCAAATACATAATTTAATCTACATTATTACAAGTCCATGCCAAATCTTCTGTTTACAGTGATATGAGGAATTAAAGGGGTCATCAGATTTCAAATTCCACTGTTTGTGGCTTTAAGGCTGAACTTGTAAACCTCAGAGACAAATATCCTCCTCAAATAAATATTTAGTTTTGCTCAGTAGGATTGGCAGAGTGCTTTCCTATGGTTTATACTTCCACTCGCTCAGATATTGGGTCTTAGTCAAACAAGTCTCCGCTATGTGAGACATTTGTACAAAAGCCTGAGATGCACCCATTTAAAAATAACATTACAAAACAACATCGTCATTTGTGCTTTGTTTAAGATACACTAAGTATTGTTATAGGGTGCAGGTAGATCGATAAGCCTTTACATTTAAGTTTGAAAACAGTAAGAGGAACTGCTGAGTTACAGGGCATAGAGCCTGACTGAAGTATCAGCAAATATATGCTTGTCACAGATACATCTGTATTGACATTTGTTATGGTGTAACAATAAATTGGAGAACGTATGTAAGAATACTGACAGGTATGCTTTCCAACTGTAAAATGTCCCACTCAGTACATATATTGCTCACAATTCTTTAAAAAACTCACATAAAGGATTCCTATAAAAGGAAATTCTTGCTTTTTCTGACCTCTAGTGGTTTAGCGCCACAATTTGCCGCAATGATGTAAGACTGTACTTCAAGGTGTGTCAGTACACGGTGACATCACTCTTGGGTTTGGTTGCAGGTGCATATGTGGTTATAGGTATGGCTCTACAGAATGACATTTTTTCAATCAAGGTTCAAATGTAATAAAAGTTACATTTGATGCAGCCCGAGTGCCATAGCACTTTTCTGACAAAACACGTTGAAAACATTTAAACTTCAGAGTGCAGTAAAGCTACTTTAGTCTAAAATGTCAAAATAGAAAAGAAACAGAAAATAAATTGTAGAGAAATGGTGAAATCAGTGTTGCTGAGATCTTAGAATTAACTTTTACCCTTATATATGCTATTTGTCTTGTGCATTTAATCCATTCCAACTGTTTAGTGCAATGGAGAGCCACTGCTCACTGCCCAGGCGTCAACTCCATTACTGAGGTCTGTGCATTAGCCAGGGTCATTTCTGTTCTGCCGCCTTATTCATTACAGACACAGGGATTAGCCTGATTTTAACAAAATGCAAAACACAACTTGCCTAGTGTGACTTGAAATGGGAATTTCATGTTGTAACTTTCCTTGTCACTAGTTGGAATAAATTATACAATATTGACACAAACTAATCTCCTGAAAAAGTATTACTCTTTGGGGACGCTACTCCAAAAATGTTTTGTAACACTTTGATAAGCGTCTTTTCAGCAGTTTTTGGCAGCAGCTCAAAAGTCACCGAGGCTTACAACCAAAAAACTATTATTTTCTGCCAACACTGGATCCTAGTTTCCAGGCAGGAGATTTCTTTGAATCAGTTAATCATCAGCATTCGTGTCTAGTGCACTTGTGAGAAGACTGTTAAAGACGACCAAAATGTGCTGTAAGAAGGCCAATGGAAATTTTGGAAAAGTGTCATTTGTCAAAGGAAAGATGTGAAATGAAGTTAAATCTATACTTAAATCAACACTGAATCACAAAGGAAACATTTGTGTAACTGAAACCTGCTGCTGCGGCCGTACTGTCTGATGCTGCTTTGGCCACTTACTATTCATCCGATGATGAAACAGACATGTACGAGGTAGGACATGTTTGTGAGTTTGGATTAAAAGAGAGCAGAGCGGTCAGCAGTTTGCTGTCCTGTTTGATTACATCTTCAACACAATCTTTTACATAGAAAATAGCTGTTTGCTGCAATATTAATGCTCTGAATATAGAGAATCTTTAACAGCCCCAATCAAGAGAGAAACAAAATATGAACAAAGGACAGAGCAGAAAGTCTTCCAGATGGATCATCATCAAAATAAATATTCTTTATCCTGACAGAAATCTCTTGGATCAAACATTTCACTGCATGATGGAAAGAAATCACGTTTGGCAAACTGGAGTGCAGTTTGAGGTTTCCCTACATTCACTGCCTCCTCTGAGAGTCATCGTTTTCAGGATGCAATCTTATTTTTCAATTTATATAAACACATGTTCAAAGACATCTGTGTCACTTATCCAACAATATAAACTAAACTGAGGTATTATAGGCATGTGAAACCTCAGTGACGTAACTCCATAGGCAGTTTTCTAGATGTATTTGCGTGCAGATCTGTGAGTAAATTCTGTCATAGCAAGCTGGGGTAATCTTGGCCATCCATCACTTGTTGATGCACTTATACTAGAGAGAAAGCTGCAGCTGCAGTGAATTAGGTCAATCTATTTTGAGTTACATCATGAACTTCATTTTGACTGGATTGCTCTTGTTTTAATATATGCACAGAATCAGGGTCTTGGGTGGAAGTGCCAGGAGAGGAGATGATTAACACTGCAGTATTTCTACAGGCCAGTGAAGGGATGTTATACATGGAATATTCGTAACAGATACAATATTTAATCTTTATAAAAGTTATGGATTAACAGTAATGACCACTGCTCAGAAAGTAGAATGGTCAATAAAATTCACCATTAATCCAGATTTTGACTTGTAGATTACTGCATTGTTTTTATTGAATGAATAGGTTCATGTCTGAAATCTCAGTTTATGAGGATTAACTGTCCTCCTTTGATTAGGCCTGTTTCATGGCAATGTTGGGTTGTTTATGTATCTCTCAACCCCAACACTAGAAGGGGGCTAATCACAGTTAATCCTACACGAGAGCCCCAGCTGTACAAATGTGCTGTACAACCCAAAGAAAGCAAATACACAACATTAAGTGACATCTGCTGAAAGAGGTTTGGGGAAAATCTTGATGTAGCACTCTGCAAATACGTCCACATCTTAAATAAAACTCCCAAAACATACTGAGGAGTCCTCGCTCATAGGAGAGAGGAAAATCGAGGTTAGCATGCTGCTTTCATAAAGACCTGTGTGCGTCATAGTAAACTGGGGCGTAGTTGGACAGAGTCTGGCTCCATCGAGAGCTTCATTCATGCAACTCCTTCGGTGCCTGTAGGTGTAGGACTTTTCATATCTGACATCTGTATCGGTTTGTAAATAATATCCGTTCCACTGTCAGAGGGAAGCATTTGCATACGACACCAAGGCAGACTCTGCAGGAATGCAGTAACAGATGCCAACACACGCATGATGATTTATTCCAAGTATTGAAATAGAGAGGGTTTTCTAAGGATTAGATATTAAGATGCACTAAAGCCTGACTCAGACCTTGTCATAAGATGCAGGGTAATATGTGTTGTTGCTATGGAAATTTGGTTCAAGATTAGCCTTAAGGTTAATACATTTTTGAGAGAAAAATACAGTTTAGAACCAAAGAAAATGGACTAATGGCTCATAACTCTTTCCAGCCTGGTTTCATGAATTACCGTGACTTTGCTACTTCTTTCATTGGTAGTTAGCAGAAAGTCAGCCTTAAAATGAAGTAGCAAAAATATGTCAGTGCAAATCTTTGTGATACAAGTGTTATGTTGCATTATGTTGATGCGGAGCTGTAACTATTAGCCCAAACACCCTAAATTCCCTTTAATGGGCTGCTGAGATCTGCCTCTATCCTAGGGTCCTATTTATCATGAATTCTCTTGGATTTTCAAAACCCTCTTCTATTTTTATCTAGCATGTTCACTGTTGCTAGGAGTGGGGCAGTGTCAGACATGTATTCAGGAGATGCACCCCCTTGTTTAATAATGCATAAGTACGGTCAATGCGCCACAAAGGAAATCTCCTGCTTGCGACTGGAGCTCGCCTCTCCCCCACGCCTTTCTGATTGTCTCTCTGCTGCCATGGTTTACATAGAACATTCTTATACAGCGGTTCTGAGCTGCTGCCCAGAAGAATTGATTTACAGTGAGATTTATTGGACAGCACCTTCCCCACTTTGTTATGACAGAATCCAGGGGTGAGAAGGAGTGTGGAGGTAAACAAAACTCAGCACTCAGATTGCAGAACACCAAAAACAAAATTTATGAACTTTCCAAAAATCTTCCATCTACTGCCGTCCATCCCCTGAGAAGGGACCCGAGACTCCCCCCAGTGCACGATAACCCAATTCTGGGCCAGCGGATCGGACAACACACCGTCAAAGAGCAGAGATAATGAATATTCTGAAAGATAAACTGATATGACTGGACAGAGCCAGGCCAAGCTAAGACAGCCCTCCGTTTGTATCGTGCTGTGAAAAGCTTTCCTCTTCTTTCTGATTCCATTTAGTCATGCTATGTGCCTGCCTAACCTATGCTGGCCCTCCACAGAGAGCAGAAGGCTCTCATTTCAGCTCTGGCAGCAAGAGTGCCGATGAGCTCATCCTCTTGAAGGAGCTTGACGTGGTGGGCGATGCGCTCGAAGGCTTGTTGGGGTGGGGGTGGGAAGGGGGGTCCAGGGGAAGCAGATGGTGCAATGAAGATGAGAGTCCTGGGAGTTTTATATAAGTTTATCCAAATCTTTGTTGTTAGATAGCCAACTGCCATCAACAGTAACTATCTGGGAGCCTGGGCTCAGTGGGGCCTGTTAGTTGATAATCTGAAACAAATGCAAAAACCAACTTGTTTGCGACACACATAACAATTGTCTCATATGGCATAATGGAAATCAACACCACTCCCTTTGTGGAGAGCAGAGGAAGACAAACAAGAAGTTAACGTCAAAGCAGTGAACTGGAACTGGATCTTCAGATAAGACATCCAGCATTAGACATCCCACTGTGTGAAAGTGGAAACAGACTTTGTTCTTTGCAAGAGGAATGCAACAATAAAGAGGAGAATAAGAACCCACACTAAAAGAGTGTGATAGAGACATCAGCAGTAGAAGAAGAGTACGACATCTGCAGCAGCAGGAGGAGGAATGGGGGCGTCCATGAAAGAGCACCAAGTGAATTACTGAGAGCTCTAATAGCCCCAGGCTGGCCACACTCCATTACAGTCATTTCATACAGAAGCTTTTATTACCTCCTCCCATTACAAACACACACACATATTCACTTCCCCACACACACTCAGACTCTCACATTCCCAGTACCACCACAATGCATTTCAATTCACTGCCTGCACTACACGACTACCTGCAGGATCTCAGTTTAACATTGGCGTGATGAGGTAATTGCACACCCAAGGTTTTCTGGGAAAGGACATTTCTAGTGTGGCTATTCCCTCACTAAAACAAACAACTAACCTGTACGCTAAACAGTTATAAAGAGTGCAGACACATGCAGCAGATACATACAGTAGGAAGAGTCCTCATGCACACTAGTATGCACACACGTCCACCTCAGCTCAGCGCTCTCCTCTCTGAAGCCTGCTCTGCGTCTTACATCAGAGCCCCTTTCACAGCGAGCGGCCGCAAGACAGCAGAGGGACTGTGTGCGCTCTCCCATCAGGCCATGCGTGAGGAGCTGGTGTGTGTCCACCCTCTGGTTCAGGGCTTAGCCGAGATTAGGGTAAACAAGCAGCACATTGTCACCCCCCCAGCCCTAACTCTGACCCTGCATAAGGTAAGGCCCAGGGAGCGGAGACAGAAAAAATATTCTGATCTGCTCGGGTCCACAGAGCGAGAGGAACACAGAGATGCCAGTCCAGGTTTGGAGAGACCTGGTCACCATACTATGAGAGCATCTTGACATACTAATCTGCAGATTAAAAATCTGGTGTAAATGCTTTGGTGCTGTGAGCTTAATTAGAATTGACAATTACTAAAAGGAAAAAAAAGTGCCCAGTGTAAAGAAGTTCACACACAGACTCTGACCCCTTCGCTCTCACCTGAGTTGTCCTCCACCTCTCTCTCATCAGTGCACACCCCCTGGCCGTGCATCAGTGAGTGCAGTGGCCTCTCTACGCCACGTGGCGGGAAGCAGCGGAGGCCCGTGCCACAACGGGGCGAGTAGACACCACAGTGAGCCCCTTTTGGCAGGGCGCAGGTGGGGCAACAGCCACAGCCGGGCTCCCGCACAGTCTCCTCACAGCCATCCGGCAGACGACAGCTGGCTAACCTCTCCTCGGAGCACACCGGGCAACGGATGGCTTGGTCCGACAAGCACAGTGCCACCAGCGACAGGGCACCAAATGCCCAAAGGCCCCAGCAGGACGGAGCTACTGCCACGCCACCTCCACGCACCATGGCAGCCCCGGCACCTGCACGCAGTCCTTCGCCCGCGTATATGCTCCCCTTGGCTTCCCTCTCCTCTGAGTGTTGTGCAGCTTTTGATCACTTTCTACTTCAACAGCAGATTTTAGACCTGCAAGGGAGGTTTGAGGTTTGTCCAGGATAGTCTTTGATATTTTCAGCTGGTTAGTGTTTCAGTTGCAGAGATACAAAGCCTCTGCTGTATTGCCTCTCTGTTCCTCTGATTCAATTTCACAGCGCAGAAATTGGAGCCTGCTCTTGATCTGCTCGGCTGGCGAATGTAGTGGTGATAAGAACTAGTTTTTGTTATGTTGAAATGAACAGTTGCAGGAAGGATATCCACCACTGTGTTCAGGTGTGTCTTGCTCTCTCTTCGAGTTTGAGTCCGGAGGCTCGCCCGCCCTCTAAATGAAACACCAAAAAATCTGGTCTACAAGTGTCCAAATGCAAAGCAGGTCATCAAAAGGCAGCGTTTTAAGTAACAGCTGCAGTTTCCTCCTCTTGCCGGTGTGCAGTGTAAAGGACTCGCTCCTGAGAATGGCTCAACACGAGTGGCTCTCCTTGGACTTTATACTGGTCCATGGACACGCCTCTTTCTCCAGTGAGAGAGGAGCTGAAAAGCACAGCAGAGAAAAGCCAAGCCAAAGCTCTCTCCCTCTGTCTTACTCTCTAGCTCGCTTAGACAGACACACAAGCTTATATACACACTCTCTCACTTGTCCTTTCTCAATCCTGAGTGCACGCAGGGAGACAAAACAGCTGAATCGCCCGCTCACTTGTTCACACACTGATTACACTACGTCCTCTCTCTCCACCCTCCTATTATTGTTCTCGTCAGTCATACATGTCTGACTTATTTCATGTCACAATTACTCGGATATATTGATTTGATGAAACATTTGGGTCCATAAAAAACAAAGAACATGTCGAGGTGTTAACCCCCGTATGCCCAACACACACACACACACAGGCACGTGTGTGCCTCTGGGGTCGAATCATTGTTTAAACAACAAAGCAGCCTCATGCCTGCCCCCTCAACAAGGTCTCAGTGTGTGTTTATGTGTGTGATTGCATACGTGTGCGTCCAGTGGTCAGTCCAGTCTATGCTGTTGCCCCCCCTCATCATGTCCTCCCCCAAATCTCTCTCTTGCTACTAACTGGAATGGGCAGCTATAAAAGGCAAAAGGACAGTCTAACCCCCCCCTCCTTGCTGCCGCCCTACCCCCACAGGTCCTAAAAAAGCCTCCAACCAGTGAGATTGCAAGGTAAGTTTTAACAACGCTGCAAACCGGGGCAGTTTATTATATATGTGTTTCCGATCATGAAAGAGTATGTAAATCAGTGTGTTACTTTGTTCTTGTTTGCCCGTGTGTGCAGATATGCCCCTACACCCAGCTTTTAAGGTTTTGAATCATGGCTTTTATTGGTCGACGTCTCTTTTTTTCCCCTGTGTTCCTTTGCCTCCGTTTTGCCATGGAAACCCAGCATGTATTGTAATGCCTTTGTGAGTGTGCTTTCTTTCAGCTTTTTTCTTCCGTCTGGTAGCTGGTTGCCATAGGCGGACCATGGGCCGCAGCCAAGCCTTACAAGGCCGTTCACCACTCAGGTGGGTGCTGCAGTGGGTGTTTGTTTGTTACACTGCTCCCAGATTCCTCATCTGTCCCTTGGTAAATTATCAGGAATTAGTCAAGATCCTCGCTGTGATTCAGCCACTTTCTGAATTGCAAGTCAAATATTTGAGAAGAAAAACTACATCTGGTCAACATAAAGTAAATAGCTTGACAGAATGTAATAACAATGTACTAAAACAGTTGGTAGTTAGAAGAGCGGCTCTCTGGTCCTGGAGCTCATAAGAGAGCCAGCAGTTTCATTATGTGTCATTTATGAGGTGTTTTACTGTGTGTGTGAGTGTGTGTGTGTGTGTGTGTGTGTGTGCGTGTGTGCGTGCGTGCGTGTGCGTGTGTTTATGTGCGTGTGCGGGTGGGTGTGTGTGTGTTTGTGTGTTTTTCAAGGATTTATCATTGTCGTTTTACAATACAACATTGCACAATGAAATGTAGTCTGGGGCATTCAGGGTGATTACTCAGAGCTTAGCCATGCTGTAGGTGTTTAATGTGTGCCAATGAGCTGTATTTTATTGTGTGTCTGTAGTTTGTAAATTGTAAATTGCTGAAACAAACTAACAGAACTAAGATAGATGTGAATAAATGTTTGGGTGTTATTTCCGGGCTGTATTTGCCTGTATTAGATTGCCAAAGTATAGAGAGATGATATGAAATAAGGGGAAAGAGAGATGGGGAATGCATGCTATGAAAGTTGAGCAGTGGTGCATGAAGCAAAAAAAGTTTGACTTCGCAGTATAGAATTCAGAGGAAAATACTTGGATCTTCTTGCAATCTTCCGTATTATGTGGTTTATAGAATAAGTGCAAGCACACAAAGGTAAACACGCAAGGATTTGAAACGAAATTTGTAATTCCACGTTTTAACCACTATGTTACATTTGCTTCAAAGCCTGGCACTTGTGCTCGAGTATAAAATTGTCCGGATCTTCCTGTGCGTTTCTTTTAACCCAAACTCCCAGCCCTCGGTCCAGCCTCGGTCTCTGCCTCATACACATGAACAGCTATTAGTGCATTTGACAACTTTTAGGACATATTGATTTAAACCAGGGCTATTCATGCATTTGTTCTGGGAAGTTGATGTACCTCAAAAAACAGAGAAAAAGATCCACTGATTCACAGACGTCTCTTTCCCAATGTAAGTCTATGGGGAAAGTTAGTTTGGCGCTCTTCCAGTGCCCCATCATCCAATACTCAATAGCTCAGATAGTGTGATGTTATTTTGTTATTTTAAGAGATGAGTTCCTCAGTTGATTTATTTTTAACTTAAAATGATGCCTAAAGTTTGGGCCTAGTTGAAGTAAAAATATTTTTTGTACGCTACATTCTTACATTGCTCTCATTTGGCAGATGCTCTTTTCCAAAGTAACCTAAGTACATTAAACTCAACAGGAACAAGAGATAAAAATATGTTCAAATAGCTACAGTACAAGTACTTATAGGGTCTTTTAAAAAGTGTCTACAGTCTTATGTGATTGATTGGGGAGAGAAAAGTTCGAATGAAAAGTAGTGTTGTAGTTTGGCCACCAGATGGAGTGGTAGCTCCTTAAATGGTCAGGAACCATGTGGACCGCCTGAATCGATACAGAACCCATAATCAGGTCTTTGTTTCACTCATAAACGCACAGTTTTATAGACTCTACTTGTTAAGGTTTAGTGAAGGAGTGTTTGTGTTACGATCATGGAACCGGTAAGGACGAGTAATCTAAATCAGTGGTGTTGCTACTCTGCTGTGTGAACATGCTCTGGTCTTTGTTGCTCAACCTTGTTCAAAACATGTTCCTGTTCCTTTAAGGGATCTCTCCTACTTCACCGTAGTGACGTTGCGCGCAGTATATTCCATATTCAGAGAAAGTCCAGTGGCGGAGTGTGGAATCTCCTACTGCCATAGCAGTCTCCTCCAGGTGCTGAGCAAAAAGCAGGTCAGATCATTTCATCTTTACTCCAATCTTTGCTACGTCCAACAAACTATAAAACACAAAAAGTGCCGTGGCATTAATTGTCACGTTTTGACATGCGCTTCTCAATTCCATTTAATTTTGAGCGTGTGAGAAAGTTTGTTATTGCTGTATTTTCCTCACTGAATGTGATGTAAGAGTAGTTGCAGCTCTCTAAATGATAAAAAAAAAAACTGTTCTACATAACTAGGCAGGTTTTATTCTAATTATGGTTACACTTGTAATATACATTGTAAAAGTAGTGCTCTGGGAATTTTGATTAGTTCAATGAAAAGTGATATGGTGTCTCTAAAGCGCATCTGTATTTTTTATTTCCAAATTAACTTTCAAACTTTGGCTAAGAGTGTTGGGAGACTCACTGGCTGTTGGTGGTGAAAGCGCTTTTACACTTGCTCCTATGTACAGACCTGGCAGGAAGTGCATGTGCAGTGAACATCATCTCTTTCTCATAAGGCTAAATGTAGTGACAGGGTTGAGCAATCAACCGTGGGCTTTTACCAACATCTTTTTTTAATAAACTTCATTTTATGCTGTCACACCAACAGGAACAGTGAGATGCACATGTTGCTTCTATTTCTTCACCTGCTTTTTCGAAATAGTAAGGGAGGCTTTTAATAGTGTCGAAAACCTTAAGAAAGGTATATTCGTGTCAATGTGTCAATATAAAAGGCCACACTTTGAATATATGCAGCAAATGTCATTTTTATAATGTGCTAGATGTTCTCTCTCCGTATTACTGTGTAAACTTAGATCTAGTTCTGAAAACACTATAAGAAGTAATGTGGCTTGACCTGATTACATTCATTTGGATTCCAAACTGTCTCTTATTGATGAATATTGTAATTCCTCTCCACAGAACATTTTTTATCATGAACACAGACAAAGATCCTGAATTTACCGCCCCAGAGGGAAACGGGATGGGTGAGTGTCTGATTCCTTGTCTTTAGTGTGAAAGTGTACGTGATCAGGCTGCACACGTTTCTCCACAGCTGCCACCATCCTGCTTACCGCACTGCCTCAGCACACATGACTGAAAAGTATTGAAAGCTGAAGCTGGATGTGTGCAGGCTGCATTTGATAACAGACCATACGTTTTCTGTGTTCCTGAACATTTATTGTCTGTGAAGGGATTTTAATATTCCATTATTCTAACAGATCGCTGTGGCTTACTGGTTTGAAGTTCTCCAAATGAAACAAAAAGTAACACAGAGTATTTGCACATGCACAACGTGTCACTTTTTCAGACGTTTGCAGTGATGTTGCAGATGTGAAGCCACAGGAGGAGGAAGAAGAGAGGGAAGATAATTCATTCAGTGAGAATGGAATGCAGTGTGCTGAAGGTGTGACGGCTTCACGTATGTACACCCCCCCAACACACACACACACACACACAATTGACATCTTTCCATTACGCTTTGCATTTTAGCCATCGAGCTCACACCGTCCATCAGCTTGCACTTGCTTTGTTGTCCACTGACATTACGAAGCGTTGGAAAAAGTTTGAGGTATGAACCGCTACAAACCCTGTGAATTAATACAATGAAGCACTGCTGTTTGGAAACACATTTTAGTAGTAAAAGTCTAGCAAAGTAACTAAACAAATGATCTCGTTTCTATCATTTCTATGTTTACCTGAAGGCTTGTAATAGTTTCGTATCTCAAAGTGTGATAGAATTTTCTAAACCCATAGAAACAAGGGGGAGTTTTATCCTTTCACTTCAGTTAAAATAATAATATTTTTTAAATGTAATTAAATATGATCAACTAGTGACAGATTACATATGATGGACAAGTGCATGAAGTAAGAGCCATTTGTATGTCCTCCAACGGATTAGAAGGAAAGGCATCATGAAGGTCTTCTAGTTATCCTGGGGTAGAGTTAAACGCTCCTGCACTGGAGCTCATCATTAGGTTTTATTCAATGCAAATTAATGAGAAAATCATTCTCAGAATTTGATTCAATCTGCTTTGAACACTGTTCGGGAAGATCCAGAGCATGAACATGAGAAACATGTGGGCTAGATCAACCCGTCTGGTTTTGTTGCTCATTGCAGTGTCATGTATTGTCCGATGAAACTTACATCTTAATTCATCTTAATTCATCTTAAATGTGACATGTTAACATGGTCAGATATTATGGGTATTTCTTCATCAGCAGTTTACACTCACACCGGGCAGAAACATATTTACACACACACACACACACACAATATTTTGAGTGTGGAAATGATGTCACTCAGACTTGTGGCCTTAGCGTCTCCTTTGTCACAAAAATAACGTGGTGTTACAGACAGCTCTCCTATTTTTTTCTGACTGTCACCCATCTGCTCCACTGGGTGCACTTCCTAAAGCCCTGCTCTGCATCTGATGAGTAGCCTGCGGTTCACTCTCTGAGACCCTGGACTCTATATCGGGCCTCTCGGAGCTCTGCATGTGCAAAGTTTCCATAGCACCTCTGAGCGCTTTCCACAATACAAGGCGCCGCTCTTCAGCTCATCACCAGTCGCCGCCAAGACCACAGTGTGGTTTCTGGATGGAACTGAGTACATTGACACTAAGCAAGTGTTTGGGTGAGAGGTCCTGCAAACCAGGCCTCGGGACTGTGCGTGTCAACAGCTGTGGGGTTGAGAAATTGAAATACAGTTGGGCGGATCCTGTAAGGTGTGGAAGTTTGACCTCCAGTGGGTAAGGACTTGTGGCTAAGATAAAATGGTCAAGAAAAAATAACAGGAAAAACTTGTATGTGCTAGAATTGGACTAGAATTACAGCAGTGCACTGCTGGCTGTGGCGCAGATTAATGTTTTTCAGCGTCAGGGATACAGGCAAACAATCAATCTGAAATCTCTTTTTAAAAGCAGATGAGGAATTCGTGGTGTCTGTGTGAGGCGCCTGCTCTCTTTCTCTCCTGCCCTGGTTCTAGTTTCTGTGTATTCAGAGGAAATGCCTTCCCCCTTATCTCGTGTACACATCATCTGAATCTCTTTGTGACACTTCACATAAGCCCAAATTAAGATACCCACACATTGGAGATGAGCTAGTACTAATATGAAACTATCAGCTATAAATACAAATGTAGAAGTAAAGATGTGACAGCGTTTTACATTCTGGTTGGAGTGGAGTCTCATCAAGCTTATTTAGTGCCTTATTTGGAAATGAGAACAAACATCAACTGTTGTATATGGACTACACATCACTTCACATGTCTTATCTCTACCTTATCACATTTCAGTCACTGCATGTGTGTTTGCATCCGATGTCACTCCAAATATATTCTCCCTTGCTTCCTCCTTGCTTAGATGTGATAAAGATTGAGGCAGAAGAGATGGAAGATGACGAGCAGTACCCTCAGGCTGAAAAAGAAAGAGAGATATCGCTAAAAGAGGAAATGGAGGGGGCCAGTGAGGACGGGACGGAGGAAGGATTCGATGAGGAGGACGATGATGAAGAGAGGGACGGGGAGGGTTATGAAGAGGGAGATACCCTGAATGAGCCACAGGACCTGTCGCTGGTGGACTACTCGCGTTACGACAGCGCAGCCCTGCCAGACGCCCACGCAGGAGCAGCGGCTGGTGCAGAAGGGACCTACGTGCCTGGAGCCGTGGCCCCTCGCATCCAGACGACAGGCAAGCTCAACTGTGACATCTGTGGCCTGTCCTGCGTCAGCATCAACGTACTGCTGGTGCACAAACGCAGCCACACGGGTAAAGCACAGGAACACAGCCTAAAGCACCTGACCTCAAACACAACAGTTGCGCAATCGTCTCTCTGTTGATAGCACTAGTAGATACCGCCTTGCATTGCCTAGGTCAAGATGTTTGATCGCGTAACTACGATTAAGAACGCACAAGTCTGCATCATACATGACGCACGTGTCCTAACCAGTGCTGCAGTGACAGCAGGAGGTTGTGAAATATCCTCTGTTGTTGTTTAAATATGAAGCACATGCAGTAACTTTGTGATTTGTGTGTAAACAGATAGGTTAACATAACATAGTACATCTACAGTCATTATTTTGCCCTGAATTATGCAATGCCTGTAATTAATGAACTCGCTAGTATATGTGGTGCATGCTTTTTGTCTATCCACATGTTGTAATACTTATCACTGTGCAGAGTGGTTGTCAGCCACATGAACACACGTCGTCTATTAACACACACTCATCATTTTACTGATGAGTACAGTTGACTAGTAGAAAAATGCTGACTTCAGATGGAACTCATGAGGATGTGTTTTTGACACAGGGAGTGAGGTGCACAATATTCTTGGCATTTGCGTGGTTTGAGTCGTGAGAACATTTGTTTCTAGGTTTCTGGCAATCTAAGTGGATGTTGCCTTGTTCCCTTTTCAAAGATGGTGAATGATTTCGTGTTTTTTGCAATCCACTGTAATACTAGGGACAAGAAGAGTGTCGTTCAACATTAGTAAATCATAAAAAAACCTGTTTTTTTATTTTTTAAGATATGAATATCAGAGTATCAAAAGATTTTCACTTAATAAGTTTTGAACAGGCTTGTTTTTCATGGTGTGTTTTTCTTCCTCACCTAGGTGAGAGGCCATTCCACTGCACTCAGTGCGGGGCCTCCTTCACCCAGAAGGGAAACCTGCTGCGCCACATCAAACTGCACTCCGGGGAGAAGCCTTTCAAATGCCCCATGTGCAGCTACGCCTGCCGTCGACGTGATGCTCTGAGCGGGCACCTGCGCACCCATTCTGGTACCAGCCAGCCACATACTAACTCACATGTAAAGCTGATATGCACTGATACTGTATGCACCTGTGCACAGTGTCACGTTGGTTGGTTTGTCACTCCTTGGTGTTGGTTTCTCACTCCTTTTGAATCACATGAGGTCTGCTGAGCCTGCATTGCTCTTCCAGTAACAACCTGCCATGTACTCTCATACGGTTACGCTCATCACATATGACGTCTTACTCATTTACCTCTGGAAACTTACTCATTCACTTTCAGTTCACGTGTTTTACCTGCACACACGCTGCACAGTCTCTGAATGTGCTCATCATCAGTTTTATGTGAAACCGCGTACTTAAGGAAATAATACTTGCTGTAACATTTAGACGGTGTTGATGTTTCATGTGTTGGTGATTAACTGAAACTCCTGCTCACAGTGGAGAAACCCTTCAAGTGCAACCACTGCAGTCGCAGCTATAAGCAGCGCAGCTCCCTCGAGGAGCACAGAGAGAGGTGCCATGTGTACATTCAGAGCAAAGGCCCCGCTGAGAGAGGTGAGCACGCAGTACGAACTCAGCCACTTTCTGACACTCGCTGCATCGGGCAACATCTTTGAAACTCCTACATGTCTTCACAGGACACACAAAGACACACTTCACATATGCACACATAACTGCTAATGTAATCTGGCCACTGCACAGTTTACATAAGCTCATTTGCACATATGGAGCGCACAATTCTAGCAGATCCTATTTTTATAGCCTCGTTAAATTAATGAGCTTATGACTGTTACCCCATCATTACAGCTAAATAGGTTATGGCTGCTGTGGTTTGGAGGCACAGCATATGAAGACCGCTTCTAATGTCTGGAGGGGAAGCCAAATATGTAGGGCAAATGTTTCAACCCAGCCGCTCAACACACGCACACCAACCCTCTAAATTAAATTTATTCAACTGTTATTTAACCAAATAATATCCACTGATAAAAATCTATCTGGCCAGGAAGGCAGCAAAGGTAAATATTGATTTCATGCATACAATACAATACAATACAGAGTAAACAAATGAAGTCCACGCATCAACAGAAGAGGTTAAATTGACACTATGTACATAACCTCTCCCCCAAAAATGCCTCTACGTACAGGACAGTTGCACGGTTGCAACACACGAAACTCTGCTTCTGTGGTCACCAAATGTCGTAAGCTTATGCCTGATAGTGCCATAGTGGTGAGGAAGTACATCCTCATCCTGTGGTCTCCTCTCCTGCACTTGTGAAGTAAAAACCCACCAGGAAGTTAAGTCAAAGGAGCTTCTGATCTCAAATATTAATTTGAGATCAGTTCCTCCCAGTGTGACTCAGCTTCGAGCAGCTGGTGTGTCTTGCAGGGTATTTTTTTTTTTTTTACTTCACTTTACAACCTCAAAAGCTTTGACAGGTGGACAGTTGCAGCTCAGTGCACTGCCTTTACTTTTGATCGAGAAGAGGTTCTCATTTCTGTGTTGCACTTACTCTCTCACTCTCTTCCTGTCAAGCAGAGGACAGCCAGACATCCAGGACTCAAATGGGCACTGAGCGCGCTCTGCTGCTCGACAGGCTCGCCAGCAACGTAGCCAAACGGAAGAGCTCAATGCCACAGAAGTTCACCGGTAAGAGCAGCTGAACACACAGACACGCAGGGGCCGAGTAGAGGCAATGACCTCAAGCAGATTAAAGAGTGTTGTAGTTTTAACATGATTTAAGATTAAAACAAAAGATTATGAATGCCTACATTTTCTAAGTTTGATTGATATGTTCATCTACCTATTTGCTAATTCATATTTTTATGTTAATGCATATTTGTTTACTGACTTCTGTATTTTTAAACTTTATCATCTTGTGCAGCTATAAGATGCTGTGGTCTTTTTGACATTTTTACATTGTTTGTGCTTTTTGCTATGCATTTATGCTTTGTAGATGATTTCAAGTTGTCTGTATAAGCTACTTGTTTGTCTGTCTGTTTGTCTTTGCTGGCCTCCATCTCTTGGAACAGGAATTGAGGGCAGAATACCTGCCTCATACCTGCACACACAACAGAGTGGCCGCCACTGTCCTAAATTCTCTGCGAGAAATGTGCCGTAGGTGGGTATTGGTAACCATGCATGGTTAAATGAATGGCTACATGTTTAAAAAAAAAGAGAGAGAGAGACAGAGATAGAAACATGCACTTGCAACTTGTAAAATATGTAATTACTCACTTTGTAGGTTTTGATTCAAACTCAGATGCTTTTTCTGAGGGATGAATGATCTAAAGATATGAGTTTAAGTGAATAGCTGACCTTGGGATCCTACACACACACACACACAATGATTTTGAGTTCGCTCTTAAGCTTGAACATTGGGTTGTAGTTTCATAAATCATACCTCAAGCTGCTCACAAAAAGCGAAAAAAAACTCCTACATGTCTCTATCAGGTTGACAAATGAAGTGAGATCTTTCAATATGACAACCACAGGGGGGAAAAGAGAAGTAATGTCTGCAACCACAGAGAGAGAGAGAAAGAGAGAGAGAGAACAGGCGGGAGGCGAGAAACGTGAGCAGGTGCTTCTCTGCCTATTCTTTGTGGTACAGCTGCACTAGAGGCCTTCGTCTGCGTCGCCTGCTTCCTCTCAGCCCTCTGTCCTCTCATGCCGCCAAGCTCAACTGCTGGCTCAGGGTCCTCTCATGCTTTAAAGCTTCTTCTGTCCTGGGATCCGGGCATGTTCCAGGTTTCCTTTGTGTTTAGCTGTGGATGCACATTGTTCTAATTGTCCTTAGTCAACACCAAAGTGACGACCCCTTAGAGTCCTATAAGGATCTTTAGTAGATCTTTCCCCATCTGTAAGCAATAACTGTTTTAACTGCTGCTTGTGCTATTTCTCTGGGTCTGCTGTTGGATGAACTATGTGAAACGTCTTCCTGCGGAGTCTTCAGTGCTCTTTTTTCTCATGCTGCCGGTCTAGGCGACAATGGTGTCTGCCTGGACCTGAGCTTTAACAGGGAGCTGGTCTACCGAACTGACGTCAAGGATCCTACGCCAGGCTCCCCAGGGCCCGACACCCACCAAAAACCCACAAGGCCAGACAGTAACCCAGCTCCCTCCCGTAGGCCCTACCCCATCCAGTTGGGTCGCAGCGACATCAGCCCCATGGGTCTCACTAACGGCCACAAGATGGGCATGCCGGTTCTTGGCCACCCCCACGCCACCCAGCCACCCCTCGGCGTGGACTCGTTCCACACTGACGGCTCCCAGATGTCCCAGCCTGTAATGTACAGCTTAGGGCACCTGCTGGGGGGGCTGAATCATCAGAACGGCATCCCTCACCCACACGCCCAGTCCATCCCCTTGTCGCCACTGGAGGCTTTACGGGTGGTGCGGGTAGACGGGGAGGGCGGAGCACTGCCCGGGGCGGTGTACCCCTGTGGCCACTGCAGGGTGATCTTCCTGGACTATGTCATGTTCACCATCCACATGGGGTGCCACGGCTTCCGCGACCCGCTTGAGTGCAACGTGTGCGGCCACCGCAGTCGGGACCGTTACGAGTTCTCGTCCCACATAGCCCGCGGCGAGCACCGCCTAGAACTGAAGTAGCTTTCATCCATGCAGACATTCATGCTTTCACACACACATACACTCACACACACACACACACACACGCATATGCTCCGATAGATAACACTGTATAAGAACACACAGATTTACTCATATAAGTAGCTGGTAGTATCAGAAATGAAAGCATGAAGTAGTAGTCTTTTATGTGTGTGTGTGTGTGTGTGTGTGTCTGCGTGTGTGTGTGTGTGTGTGTGTGTGAGTGTGTGTGAGTGCATGTGTGTGTGTGTCTGTGCGTGTGTGTGTGTGTGTGTGTCTGTGTGTGTGCGTGCGTATTGAGAGAGACGTTATAGGAGTGCGGCAGGTGTCAGTGTTCTTAGTCATACTGTACTCATCTGAAAAGATGGCCTGTAAAGTGTCTATGCAGGAGTAATTCTACTTCCTTTTCATACGTTACATTAGTACATAATGATCACTGCTGTAGCCACTGTTTATATGATATAGTCAGCCATATATACATTCAAATGTTCAACAAGATAGCAAAAATGAATGAATTTATTGTGTATTTGCTGTCGTTCTTTTACTGTTATATGTGTAAAGATGTAAAAATAAAAGATAATCACTCCTTTTCCTTCATAACACATAGACCTGCAACTTGTTGAGAGAAGTTTATCTTCTCTTAAAAGCACTTGCCAATTCAAGACTGCAGAAAAAAAAAATCCTATTATCTAGAAGGTCACATGTCTCCTTTTAGGCTGTGGTTTGAGAGAAGTGCAGTTCACAGCTTCAAAAGACATCCCTTCGCTCTGCACCATGTGTTGGTTTCTCACAATATTATACACTCAAAGTTAGAAAGGGCTCACAGAGAGTTATTGTCGCACGAAATAGAGGTGTATATATTTAGAACTTAGAAAGTATCAGGGGTATAAATGAAAGTTGAGGTAGGTCTAAATTAAATGTCAAGTGCTGTTGAACACCTAAAGATTTCTCTGAAAGCATATTAAAGATTTTACATTAAATCAGGAACAACGAATATGAGCCACTGCAGTATATACAATTGGTATTATCTGAAAAAAACGATCAAATGAGGGTAAAATAGCAAATGACTCTTGTCTTGTGATGTGGGATTGTCAATCGACATCACCGTTTCTTTCTTCCCACCCGGATGGTGAAGAAATGAATGGCAGTGGATCACAAATCTCTTCACACCAGCCCCCATCTGCTGGGAGAAGTGTGGTACTGCATGACAGTGACTTACTTTTGATGTGTTCTCCTTATCACTCCAGAGCAGTGGGTCCCCTATTATCCACTTGGGGCCCTTTAAAATGGTGCAGGGGGCTCCCAAACTAAACAAAGAATAGCGCAATGCATCTATTATTTCTTTAACTTGAAGAAAACTCCATGAGAGAATTATTGTAATCAATAGTTTCACTCTTCCCACTAACTCTCACTTCACCCACAGAACAGGTGGTAGTAAGTGATGTCTGCCAGTAAAACTCCACACATGGGAATTTATATGTGTGTGATGGAAAAATGTAGCTTCAAATGGAGGGTATGTGGTCATTTTTGATATGACAGACTTCAGGAACCTCCGTTCACAGCTGTTATTGGAAGAAGTTTAGGTGAACACACAAAATGGGTTCTGACATAGCAACTAAGTCAGTGCATGGGGCCGTGTGTGGATGCACTACGCCCACATGACGCGCAGGGACTCGGTCACGCCTTGCTGCCTTTCAACCAGAACAGGGTGTTAGCTTCATCCAGCTGCCACCCCGCTATCTGTCCTCTCCATCAGTGCCAGTTCCCTTTTCTCTCTTTGGGTTTGATGAGAAGTGACACTTGTGAGGCAAACTGTCATGACAGCTTCATGTCCATACGTTAGATTAAAAAGCCCAGTCATCCATCTAAAAAATGTCCAGGCTGCTTCTCTTTTTTTTTCTAAAGGTTGACTTCAGGGTAATTTTCTTCTGAGTAGTTTGTTGAGTAAGAGTGCAGAAGTTTAAAGCTACAATGGAAGTCAGGCAAGTTTGTGCTAATGTAGGAGGATAAGAAAAAACAACCTAAGGACTCATATAGGATATTTTTTTGACACATCACTCCTGAACAAAAAAGAACAAAAGATAAGAAAAGGGGAATTGCACTATGTTCAGACAGCCCTGCTTTTGCCCAAACTGTGTGTGTTTCTGGAGTCCCATATCCACCATAAAACTGGCCTGTCAGACAGAGTTTACTCAGCCAGTCGAGACAAAAGTCATAAAGCAGTCCAGTCAAAACGAGAGGCTTCTAGTGACATCTGCTGACTGAATTATAGAAGTCAACTTATTAGCCAACAATCTGAATGAGATCCATGCTGATGTGGTTTAACTGGAACAACAACACACTGTACACTGACCTTAAGAGCAACCAAGGAATCAAATAAAGTTTGAGTCATGAAACCTCAGTAGGCTACGGGTCAGTTTGACAAACTGGAATTTGAATCTAAATGTGTTTTTATTGTTTTGGCTGTAACTGGAAAGAGTGATGCCCACAAATAGAGAAAGAATACAAGATACATGTAGATCATTTTAGCCTTACACCAAAATGGAACGAATCAGAATAAAGTAAAATGAAATGTTACACACAGGTGTATCATTCACACTGGATGTTTTGCATTTTAGGTCAGCACATCGGATGGTGAAATAGCTTGTAATTTTTTTCCCGTTATTCTGTGGAAATCCTGAAGATGGTGCTGTTGAAACAAACTTGATAAACAGAGGGCAGCCAGCGGTTTTGACTGACTGCTCGACATGTTTTACTAATCTAATTTATAGAACTATTCCACGCCTTTAGGTACAATATATTGTCACATTGATGAGAATTTCAAAAATAATGTTGCAGTCTGAAAACACGCGGCGAAAAAGGGCTTCATGTCTACAAAATAACAATAACTTGCTACCTTTTGCTGTGACTTATTCCGAACCAAATGAGCAAGTCTGAGCATGCGCACTGCATCGGTTCTATGGGGACGGGGAGGACATCACGGAAAAAACGTAGCAGCAGCACCACAAACCCCACGCCGAGATTTCGCCTCTCCGCAGCGCTAAAAGTGCGCGACGAAAGCGGCCCACGGCTATGCCCGGTGCGGCGTTAAAGTGCGGGACGTCCACTTGACAGGCCTGGGTGAGGTCTGAGCCGTTACCGGGAGGGAAAATACATTTATTCGTATGGGAGCAGCATGCGGGAAATGGTTGGAGGTTGCTGCGTGTGTTCAGACGAGCGAGGCTGGGCAGAGAACCCTCTGGTTTACTGTGATGGACACGGCTGCAGCGTCGCCGTTCACCAAGGTAACGTTAGCCGCCGATGGAGCGCAATTACTGGGTAGCTGTGGCGGCTGGAGGCAGCCAGAGGTGCTGGTAGGTCGGTAGGTTTCTTAGTAGGTCCATCGCTGTCTACGTGCGTGTGGTGTGTGTGGGAGGGGTAGGTAGGCGTGCTGTTTGTTGTTTCCTCTCCGCATACATGATTAAACACACAGGGCCAAGCAGCAGAGTGTGACACCGAGTCTGGATGGCGCCTTGATGGCACTTCAGGTCCGTGTACGTACGTGCGTGCGTGTCTGGCCCGGTTTGGATTCACGACACACTGCGAGAGGCGTGTTTTTGCGACAAAAACAGCCCCGGCGAGGCCCGCCGGTTTGGACATTATGTTGCCTTGTGTCCACTTGCTTTGTTGCTTTTTATGGAGACAAAACAAGCGTAGCAATTTTAACTTCTGGGATCATGTTTCTGAGCAGAAATCAGCCCTGCCACTGATTGTTGGACCAACTCTGTGGGAGGCTGCTGTAGATTTATGCCTGGCGGACTTTCCTCATCTGCAGGTTGATTTTTTGAAGTAGAGATGACTTTGTTCCTGTAAAGTCAACGAAAGTGCTATAACATGTAATAAAGAAAGATTAGTTAGAAGCTGACACAGCAAGCTGAGTTGAGAGCTGTCTTCATAGGGTCAATTTATTTCATATTCAATCTTAAATTGAAGTTCCAACTGGATACATTTCTTCTTTCAAATATTACCTGACCAAGGTGCCAGCAGCACTTAACGGTACTGACACAACAACACAATATAAGAGATGTGTGTAAAGTACATTGCGGTAGAAAATGGAATGTATCGAAATAGTACCATTGACCTGTCCTGTGTGTGTGTGTGTGTTTCCATCCCAGCATGTTATGGCATTGTCCAGGTGCCCACCGGTCCGTGGTTCTGTCGGAAGTGTGAATCACAGGAGAGGGCGGCACGCGTGGTGAGTATGCCAACACACACGACATGTCACGAAGCACACCCATCCGTTCCTGCTTCACCCTTTAGGATCGATGCCACGCTCACTACAAGCTCTGCTCTCTTCTGTCCTGCCTCAGAGGTGTGAGCTGTGTCCCCACAAAGATGGTGCCCTCAAGAGGACAGACAGCGGAGGTAAATCTCACTCTCCTGCTGTTTCTCTGAGTGCACTGAACAGATTTCCACTTCATTCATAAGAAACCTTATCGTGTCATTGAGCCACTGCCAATCTCTCCGTCAGGCTGGGCACACGTTGTGTGCGCGCTCTACATCCCGGAGGTTCAGTTTGCCAACGTCCTCACCATGGAGCCCATCATCCTGCAGTACGTCCCGCATGACAGATACATCAAGGTACTGACACAAACACACACACACACACACACACACACACACACACACACACACACTCTGTTGACCGGATAAAACCTGTAACACATTGTGAAGTGAACAGGTTTTAGTCTACAGGACTTCCTCGTGATGTGGCGCCCTGTCTCGAAACTTATATTAAGGATATACAGAAAGGTGTTTGTGTTTCTGGACAGCCAGAGAATGGTGTCCACATGTCATCTGTTTTTTTTTTCCTGCTGGAGCGGCTGAAACACGCATAAAAACATCCTTTAGCAGAGATGACAAGCATCTATGACCGGGTATCGAACATCGATACTTTCCAACCAAACGAGGTTTGTTTTGAAAAAATCAGCACCAAATGATTGGTCCGATTCATATTTGCTCTACCTGTTCTCTCTTGAAGTTTATTTAGGCAATGTTCTCATACAGATGTTTGATTATTATAATGTTGTATCTTATTTTCCTCACTGATATTTCTGTTGAGCATTTGTTTTAGAAATAAGGTTTTGGAAAACGTAAAGTCTTGTTATCTGAGCTCAAACTTGGTCGTAGAGCAATTCAAATAAACCTTTCTTCACTTAGAGTGGAAATAGACAACTTTTCAAATGGGAAT